ACACACACACTGATATCTCTGACATCTCACTGTAATGACAATAACACAACACACATCCTCATCAATATCTGCACAACACTGATCACATGTCAGACGGGCAAAACCGGGTCAGTTCCACACCTGAGCTCATAAACACACACACACACACACACACACGTGCATACACACACTCAGTTAAAAACATCCACACATATACCGTATACATGCACTACACACACACACATACTCGTGCTTATGCATACAAACACACACATATGCACACACACACACACACATTTATACATACGAATACACACACTGTCTCTCTCACACACACATTCGAAAACATTTACAAATACAAACTTGCACTACACACGCACACACACACTCATACATACTCATGCATACACACGCACACACGCAAAAACATTCACACATACACACACACACACACATACTTGTGCATACATACACTCAGTTAAAAACAGACATTTATTCAGTGTACATGCACTACACACACACACACACACTCGTGCATATGCATACAAACACATACATATGCACACACACACATTTATACATACGCATACACACTTTCTCACACACACACATTCGAAAACATTCACAAATACAAACTTGCACTACACACACATACACACACACTCACACACACCCACACGTACAAACACACTTATACAAAAACGTTCACACATACATTGCTCTACACACACACACACACACACACTTTCATACATACTCATGCATACACACACACACACAAGCGAAAGCATTCACAGATACATACTTACACACACACACTTATACATACTCATGCATACACACACACACACACACACATTCATACATACTTGTACATATACACACTCTCTCTTTCTTTCTCTCTCTCTCACACACACACACGCTCTGTTTCCTCTCTGCCTGGACTTGCCTCTGTTTGAAAGTCGACCGCAGACTCGCCGCCCCAGGTTATTAATCTTCTAACGAGCGCCTAATCTAAGATAAATACACACAGTATCATTATCCTCATCATTAGATCTGTCTCCTGGAGGAGGAGGAGGAGGAGGAGGACACCATTACTGCGAGACTCCCGTCCGGCGCTAATACAACCTTATAGCAACCGTTCAACAACACTCCTCAGTGCAGTCAAATCATTTCCCATGCTGGCCACTGAGAGAACACATCATCCCACACACACACCATGGAGGAAAACACTTGACAGAACATTAGAGGAATGTCCTGCTGAAACACACCCTCGCCTCTACATCTCTGTCCTGATGACTACTGAAGTCACCATCACCCGCTCTTTACTCTCCCTCAGGCTCCATGTTTTTTGGGTTTTGGATATATATTAGCTGTTTACTTTAATGTCATGAAGTAAATCAACAATTTAGCTAATAAAAACGGCACTTTTCCATTGGCAGTACTTAATATTGCGTAATTTTCCAGTATCGTGCTGCCCTGCTGAGGGTGCCAATTACACATTGATGATCAGGAGGGTCTAATTAAGTAAAATGCACTACTCACTCAAAGACAGCCCCATTTCACCCCAGTATCCTCTCCGATTACCCTACTGCACAAAAATACCCTAGTAACCCTCAGAAAACCTTAGTAACTGCTCAAAAATGCCCTAGTTACCACTCATCTCACTCTAGTAACCACTCAGATCACCCTAGTAACCATTTAAAAATACTATCAGTGTTCAGACCACAGAAAATCAGTCTCAGAACACCCTAGTAACCATTCATATCCTTCTAATATCCACTCAGATCACCA